GCTCTGCCTGCCTTTTGCACTTAATGGTCATATTATCATGTCTTCATGTGAACCATTCCCTTTGTTACCTGCACCCCTATGTTTATAGCAGCACTATTTACAATAGCTAAGCTTTGGAAATAACCCAAATGCCCAAAAATAGATGACTGGATCAAGAAGATGTGGTACATATACACCATGGAATATTACTCAGCTTTCAAAAAAGATAAACACATGCAATTTGCAGCAACATGGATGGAGCTGGAAGGGATCATGCTCAGCGAAATAAGCCAGAAAGAAAAAGAAAAATACCAGATGGTCTCACTCATAGCAGGAATCTAGAAAACTTAAATAAGGGACCAGGAAAATGAATAACTATAAGAAAGTGAAAATCAAAATCAACAAAAAACTATGAACCAGAGACACTCTATGGGGGGCGGGTGGTGGGGAGGGGAGGGATTGGGGTCAAAATAAGGGGGTTGCAATTGTATGGGGAATATAAAAATAAAATTTATTTAAAAAAAAAAGAATGTATCTCCTTTAGAAAATAATCTCTTTACCCACTTTATTCCAAAGCACATGATCTATACTTTTCTGATGTTTGATGCTCTTTTTATTTGACAATATCAATTGCTCTGTAATATTTCAGGTTTCTAAAGTACATCATGTACACATTTCTATATGTGTTCCATAACACTGGTGTATTAAGTATAGAAATATTTTTAATAAAGCATTTAATTAAAACTGAAAAAAAATAGAATGTTTCTCCTTTAGGTGAGGACATACTCTTTAATTGCTCTAAGCCTAAATTACCCTATTGTTATTAAAACCTGTGGTCTGCTAATGTATAACCAATTGCTGAAGAAATTACTGAAATTGTACCAATTGCAATTTTTTCTTTTTCTTTTTTTAAGATTTATTTATTTATTTATACAAGAACCAGGGTATAGGCCAGATGCGCGGAAGAGTGAGAGGACTCACCAGAGACAGAGTGGGGAACAGAACAGGCAGACTGACGAAATACACTGCTGAGGGGAGCAGCGGGCATGACAGGAGAGGTCTGCCGTGCCATGTGGGACCCTCTCCAGCCGCCCGGGATCAAACCAGCACTGTATAGGCTGCGGACAGCTTCATATTGCAGTGCTCAACCGCCTGAGGCCCCCAATTGCAATTTTTTTATTAAAAAGTCTAAAAGTTTAAATACTAATGATAGGGCATCCCTGGTGGCGGAGGCAGTCAAGCACAGCGCTGTGAAGCTGTCTGCAGCCTTGGCAGCATGGGTTTGATCCTGGCCGACAGGAGAGATACCCACATGGCCCAGTCTCTCCTGCTGCTCCCCTCTGCAGTGTGTTTCGGTCAGTCTGCCTGTTCTGCTTCCAGCTTTGTCTCTGGTGAGTCCTCTCACCTTCCCATGCATCTGGCCTGTACCGGCTTCTTGTATGCATGAATAAATAAATCTTTAAAAAATGATAAAACAAATAAATACTAATGGGAAACATTCTCCTTAGATAGACTACAGAATCTAAAAGAATGAGAACTGATGTAAGCATCAGGAATGATTCTTCAGTAGCCCAGGGAGGCCACTGATAGTTCCATTTGCTTTCAGTTTTCATCTGAAGCTTGTGGTAAAAATGCAACTTTACCCTAGCTATCACTGATTTCCTTTTAAATATGATGAATGCAGGGTCTACTAAAAAGATCTCTGCTTATTTGTAAAAAACATACTAAATATACAATAGACTTCCTATTCCATTTTTTCTTCAAGTGACAAAGATGCTTTTACCTCCTGGTAGGACAGGCTCACTTGCCCGAACTCATTTCTCTAACGCTTTCATACAATTAAAACATATACCTTACTTTTCCCAACTGTGGATATTTTATAACACTGAATAGAATAGATCTTAGTCTGTCAGCATTTTAATGTTAATATTTTGGAAGTGGGAATGTGGAAAATCAATCTTCTCCCTAAATAACTTAGGGACAATTTGACAACTATACCAAATAAGGATTTGGCCCTGGTTGAGTGGGATTGAGTTTTAATTGTCTTTAACTTTGTTCTCAGGCAACTTTGTTGTCCAGCCACTAGAGCCATTGTTTTCCATCCTCTGGATTAGTCATGGATTTAAAAAAAAAAAAAGCTAAAATTAAAATAACATAACGTTTTGATGAATGAACGCTAAGCAAATAAAGTATTGGCCCACTCTTCTACCACCCTTGTTGAAGTTGAAGGGAGGAACAATGTAAATAGTTATATATATTGGAAATAATCTGGGATAGAGTCAGAAAGCTGTGGAAAATGGGCACAAAGTTATAGAATAATCTGGGTGATTCTGTTCTTCTGGAAATGACTCCCAGACAAAGGAGATAGGGAGCAGGGAGGCCTACTTGAAAAAAATATTAGAAGTAAAGCAAGTAATCCCTCTCCCAAAAGGTCTCCTTCTTATGATTGTGAACTTGGATTAATCATGAACCCACAGGGCAGAAATAAATTATAAAATATCTAAATATCTAAATCAGTTTATTGGAGAGGCATGGTAGTGGAGAAAAAGTCTTAAAAATTAGTAAAATTATTTAACTCAAATTCATTATATAAGTAAGTGATTTCCTTGAAACTTAATGTTTCAGTGAAGCATATTACCAATTAGGACTTTTTCACTTTTTCTTTTGAAATAATTGAAGACATTACAAGTTGCAAAAATAGCACAGGTTATTATGTACCATTTACCTAATAGTGTCCTATCTTGCACAATCATAGATGATCAGAACCAGAAAAGTAGCATATCAGCTGCTAGTTTTTTTTTTACAGATTTCAAAGTTTGCTATCATATTTTAAATCCTTTCTGAATACTGGAAGGTAAGTTCCCTTGGAAACAGCCTGTCCAAAAAGTTGCAGGAGATGACATTCAGGACGCTGAGTGCTTTAACCAGCCCCAGAATTGCACTCTCTTGGAGTAATGTTTCTCAACCCTGGTGGAACATTCCAGTCAAGGAAGGATGGGCAAAATCCAAGTAGGGCTGGAGTCACCTCATATCACTGACATAACCTCAGCAGATACAGCTCAGGCATCTGTATGTTTGAAAAATGCTTCATAAGACCCTAATGTGCAGCCCAGGATTCAGAACTGAATGAAGTAAAGCTTTACTAAAGGCAATTGAATACTTTTTTAAAAAATTTATTTTTTTAAATTTATTTTTGCATACAAGAACTGGGATGTAGGCCAGAGGTGCCTAAGGTGAGAGGATTCACCAGAGACAGATTGGGGAGCAGAACAGGTAGATCTACTGAAATATACTGCTGAGGGGAGCAGCTGGGAGACAGGGAGGCCCAATTGAATGCTTTTTCAAACGAGGCTTTTAATTTATGTTTTGCTTTTGTGACAACATTGATAAATGAAATACATTCACATTGCCTTTGCTCTATAGACCCAAGTTTCAACACACTTTTCATTATTTAACAAACTAGGCCTTAAAAATAAGCTACGTAACAGAAAAGTAATGAGGCTTCTCGTGGTAACCTGGACAAAGCCTTTTGGGTTCAAACTTGGGATAAAGCGATGGAGTAAATTCAGCTCTACTCCTTTGCCTCCACCTCTAAATTCCAGCAGTTTTACCAGCTTCTGGGTTCTTGAGTTTGTTATAGGGCAGCCCCGATATTGAATGGGTTGCCTGGCTGTGGGTCCTCACCGCGTGCTTAAAAGGGACTTATTAATACTCCATTACAGGCACACACAAAAGGTTAATAAAAGATTTATTTACAAGGAAAAAGGAAATAAGAAAAATGTACAACTCAGGGAGAAAAATAGGGAAATAAAGTCTTTAATGCATCCTACCCGATCTGCCGACCTGGAAACCCAAAGTCACTCTCCGAGCTGGCCGGAAGCTGCTAGCTGGTGGAGAGCCAAAATGGGGGACCCCTCCAAAGCCCACATGTCTGCCTTTATACCAACTTGGCTGCTTAACCCCACCCTCAGGTCCCAGCCACCTTCCCTTTGGTGGTGATGGGATTTGGAGTTCCCAGTGTCTTTGGCTTTGGCCTGGGGTGGGGGTGGAATCCACAAAGCCTGTATGGAATTAGCTTCAGGACATCCTTTTCCCCCTGACAAGTTCTCCGGGAAACAAATAACGGGGACTGTAATTTTGCAGGTATCAAGTACGAATTTAGCAAAGCTCACGCAGTCCGTCATAAAGGAGTCAGCATCAGGAACCCGTCTGTGTGCTGCTCCCTGAGAAACAGGTGGCGGCTCGACTTAAGTTTTAACCCAGCTTAGAGGGCTGCAGTCCTTTCTTTACTCTTCTTTCCATCTACCCAACTCATAATCACCTCGTGCGCGTGATCACTCTTCATGCTGGATTCCCCATCACTAGCCTAGGGGGTTGTTAGCGTAAAGGCATTATCTAAAGTTTGTATGGGGAAAAAATGTTCCATCTTCGAGACAGGGACAATCTACTCTCAGTGTGGGAATGTGACCTTGCCTCGCACCTTCAGCGAGAAAATGCTGCGTTCCACTTTATGATGACTTGGTGAGCCTCAGCCAGCGTTGCATGTAGCCCAGCATCCTGGAATCCCCTGGGCCTCACGGGACCCTCCCTCCTGCCCAAGAATTTTCCTGACCCTTTCACTGCAGCCCCCGTCCCCCCGCCGCGCATGCGCACAGCCAGGCCGGCAGGGGCCGCTTCCCAGCCCTCGCGCCGGGGCGACCTCGACAGCCCTAACGGAAAGACGGGGAGCTTGCGCCCTGTTTATTCCTGTGGTTGACACTACCACGAAGCCTCCTGCTGCCTGCGCCAGCTCCGGAGCCCCCGCACAGCGGGCCTCCAGGCTCGGGGATCCCACCTAGCGCCCCCTTCCAAGCCCGGGATGCCGGGGGTTCTCCCAGCCCCCGGGCCGGGGGGCGCGGGGCGGGGCCTAAGGGACTAGTTGGTGCCGGCGTCGGCGTGCTGACGTCGGGCGGAAGCGCACGCGGTGCAGCGGCCCGGAAATAGGCTGCGCGCTGCCCCGCGGGTCAGTCCGGCGGGTTGGCTGCGTCGGGCGTGCGTACAGCTCGCGGAGACCATGGCGTCCGGGCCTCACCCGACCGTCGCCGCCTCGTCGGCAGCCCCGAGCGCGGGCGGCTCCAGCTCCGGCACGACGACCACGACGACGACCACAACCGGGGGCATCCTGATCGGCGACCGCCTGTACTCGGAGGTGTCGCTCACCATCGACCACTCGCTGATCCCGGAGGAGCGGCTGTCGCCCACCCCGTCCATGCAGGACGGGCTCGACCTGCCCAGCGAGACGGACCTGCGGATCCTAGGCTGCGAGCTCATCCAGGCCGCGGGGATCCTCCTCCGGCTGCCGCAGGTCGGTGCGCGGCTCGGGTCAGGCCCTGGGACTCTCGTGGGGGCCAGGGGGAGAGGAAATGGGGGAGGGGGCCGGTGGGGGAGTCCAGTGGGGCAGAGGGTAGCGGGGCCGAGAGGAAGGGGTTCAGGTGCGGGAAGGGGGTGGCCTGGAGGGTTGTTGAGGGGGAAGGGAGAAGGGGGAGGGCAACGTGCACAAGATGGCGCCGGCGGGCCCGCCTGACCTGCCTCCGTCCTCTCTCGTCTGCAGGTGGCGATGGCGACGGGACAGGTGCTGTTTCACCGCTTCTTCTACTCCAAGTCTTTCGTCAAACACAGTTTCGAGGTGAGCACTGCGGGGGCGGTGGACGGAATTTCTTTATCCGGAAGTAGGAAAGGGTGGGGGGGGGGGGGCCGGCAGCCAGCTTTGCGAGAAAAAGGGAGTGGTGAGACCGGGCCTTTGTATCTAGTTTCCTGCCACAGAGAAGTGTGGGGACTTTGAGAATGTGTTTTGAAAACGTAGATAAGGCTCCGGACTCCAGGTGATCTATTTTCAAGAATTACAGTAGTCGGCCAAATGCAAAACTCCTGAGTTTTACTTTGGATCTGAAATGAAGACTTCCTGAACAAAAGAAAGCACGTATTACTTTAGGTGATGAGCCTGTGACCCAGAAGTCCCAAATGTAGTCAGTCTGTTTAAGCAGAGGTAGCCCCACAGTGTCTTAGTTTCCTGGTCGAAGTTAGCTCCTTAGACTGTGACAGGGGTACTTTTTCTTAACTTGAGTTGAAAGTACCGTAGTCTAAATTCATTGGATCATTTATTTGTTCTTTCAGATTGTTGCCATGGCTTGTATTAATCTTGCATCAAAAATTGAAGAAGCACCCAGAAGAATAAGAGATGTGATTAATGTATTTCACCACCTACGCCAGTTAAGAGGAAAAAGGTAAGATTGGCATTATTGAACACAGCTGCTTTTGCTACTGTTGTACTGTGCACCAATCATCAAATCAAAACATTCTTTTCTCTCAAGTTAAAATGGACGCAAAGGAGAACTGACTTTGATTTAGGTGTTAAAATTCGCATAGGCGCATGCTGATACTCTGGAAAACCATGATTAACCAGCTATCTAAAGTTTGTAGAGGCAGTTGCATTTGTGGACAATCCTAACAGTGCTGTGAAGCCAGTCCTGTGGTTTAAGATTAAACAAGAAAGGGAATACGTTTGGCTCAAGTGTGAGTGTATTCTGTAAGTTTTCCCTCCCCATCCCCTCTGGAAGACTGAAGGTTTGAAGTTTTTTTAAACGTCTCGTAGTTCAAGTTCATATTGTGGCAACATTTTGTGTAGATTGTTTTTGTACTCGAAGCCCCAGTTAATTCTTTATCAATTGAGGTTGGCTTTTGTTAGAATACTTCTCAACATTGAACTACGATATATCGCATAATACCGGACTGAAAGGACTGCAGGATGATAAAGTTTGAAGTTTGAAGTCAAAGGGATTAAACAGGTATTTTGTTTTGGTCAGATACAGTCTCAGTGAGTGGGTTAGAAAAGTAACTGGATTGCATCTGGATGAGGCCCACGTATTTGAAATTATAAGAAAAGAGAGACTGAAATAGTGTCTTACAGGTGTTGTGGCTATATGATAACACTTAATGTGGGACCTGTGTTAGATGAGGCAGTAGCAGAAAGTTCTAGTTACAGGACTAACTATTTATAGGTGAATTTGTACTGCAGGGATATACTTGGTGTAGGTTCGTTTCTGTGTTTAATTTTTAATAAATTGTGGTGATGTTAAACTTGTACTGAGTTTGAAAGGAGGTTATTAAAGGATTTTAAGTTGTTTGAGGGGGGGCTGGGTGTTGGCTAGTGCCAAATTAGTATTCTACAGGAGTGGTCTTTACTGGCTGTATGTTTAAGTTGGCAGTAATAGTTCTGAATAGAACTATTCAGAGACCAGAAAATAGTAAAAGTAACCTTAAAAAACAACTAGCCTAGTAAAAAGTCTGAAGCATTGCTTCCCAGATAGTTCTCACAACTTTCTTTTTCTCTCAGTTTTCTTACATTCTTTTTTCCCTCCATCTTTCGCATTCACCCTAACTATATCCAGAGATAGATTAATCTATTTCATTTTAAAATATCTTTTAGCTTCTTGGTAAGGAATCCCTGGAAACAGGAAGATTTCAAAATTGGTATTTAGTGTGGCCTAAGCTGAAATTTGTATTTAGGTATCAGGCTGATTCTTCAGAATGTTTAAAACAAAATGACAGTAATAAAATGGCTCTTTATCTTTAGTCGAAGGATGCTATGTTTGTTTAAAGGAAATAGTTTTCTGGTAGTGTATTTGTACCATTGAGCCAACTATTATGTAATCATTTCTAGTGATTATCTACTTTGAACGTTTTCTATAAGATCTAGCATATTCTTCCTTGATGTCAGAGTAGGTTTTAACTATAAAACCTTGGCATTTAATATACCTCACCTGACTGTTGTGTCTGATTAACAGCGTTTTTGGCCGTTATTACAGAGAAATTGATTTTTTTTTTCTCAATCATAGAAGTCTGATTATAGCATGAAATTTAAAAGGAGTTGTTAATTGCATGGAAGCCTTTTAAAAAGAAAAAGCAGGATGTAAAAGTTTCTATGCATATTACAAGTTTACTCAAACACGTAACTTGTATATGTTATTAACTTCAACTCTTTTTTCCCTTGCAACCGACTATACAGCGACCAGCTACATTTACCAAAGCCTGGGTGATGTGGAGTGGTACATAGAGATGAAGCTGTCGTCATGGCAACAGTGAGTGAAGTATCGAAAATCCCCAAGGAGAAGCCAGTGCTCTGAGAATAGGTCACTGGAATCGGGGACTAACAGGTTGGCCACTGGTGAACCATTTAGAAAAACTCCTGTTTCTTGTTAAAAGCTTTTGTCTTTGCTGTCCAAGTTATAAGAATTACAGTTTTAGGAACTTTTTTGCATAAATTATTTTTGTTAGTGTTATCAGTATACTTTAGTTAGGTAAAGTATTTCAGTTTGTTTTAATGGTGTTTATTTTATTCTCATTTATGCCTAGTTTTAAATTGTAGGGTGATCTTGATGAGTACAGAGGAGTCTGTTGTTTAGTCTTTAGGTCATTCTCAGTACTGACTGCATATTAGAGTCACCAGAGGAGCTTTTTGAAAATATCAGTGCCGGATCCCTATTTGGATTAATTGACATTTTCCCCCTTCAACTTTTAATGGTTTGAGAATTGCCTTTTAAACCCAGAGTAAATGACTACATTTAATGGGAAAACTACTTTTGTTTGTTTCTGTAATTTCCTGTCAAAATTTGCTTTTTAGATATATATTCCTAGCAAATTTTCGAGAATTTTATTGTTTCAAAGTCCATATTCACAATGTAAAGCTTGTCTAAAAGAAGACCGGTCTTTAAAGGCTTGGCAACCACTTAACGGTTGACATCATGTCTTTTTAATGTTACATAGATCATAGGTAAGATTTGGAAGGGTCTTAACATGATCTTGTACTTTAGTCCATTCTCTTTCTGCAGTTTTATTTTGGATGGCTCTAAAGGTAGCCTTCAGTTTGTTTAAACACAAAAGAAAAAGTGTTCTTTTGAAGTAAGCATTACAGATTTTTGTATATTTGAGCCAACAATCTGCCTCTTTGTAAACTGATCGTTTTCTTTCATATGGCCTCTTGAACCACTTCCAAATTTTCCTCTATCCCTGCACCAATGAATGATACTAATCTAATCCTGTTTTGGGTCTCTTAATCTTAAATTTCTCCTTTTAAGTTGTATTTCAACTAAAAAAGATCTAAAGGAAAGATAATCCAAGAGACCAGATGATAAAGATTCTATGATTGAGTTCAATAAAGACCCAAGATTTCCTATTATGACTAAAATTTCAAAAATGCGCTTTTGCATAAATCTGGCAAATTTAGAGGCATTGGAGATAGTGTTGATAATGAAAAAAAATTTTAAGAGATTTTTAAATGTCTCCTCAAACTTATTGGAAAGGACAGTTGATCTAATTGGGGTGGAAGAAATCCTAGCAAGCCTTGTTTCAATTTAATGTGCTTTTGCCATGGAAAGTACTAATTGATACTTTGTGACATAAAAAGTAAAGTACTTGCTTGAAATTTGTGAGTATATTTTTTTCTGCTTCTGAGATAAAATAGTCTCTATAAGGCAGTTGTAACTTACATAGCTCTTGTTTGATTTGTTAGGTAAAAAATTTTGAATAAAAGGGAGGTAATCAGATAAAACATGCCCAAAGTTTAAAAATTTCAGTTAGCAGACCTAAGAGAAGTTGAGTATATGGTTGAATAAAGTAAGTAATGGATTTGTTTTCCTTAGTTTCGATGTTTACTTGTCCAAACAGGACAAGGAAAAATTGTGGCAGAACAGAGGGAAAATGAATATTTCAGTAGGATTAATGAAAGGAGTAAGCCTGATTTGGGACCAGATAGTAGCCATAATTCAAATTTATATGGCTAATTGCAAGAAAAATGAATTTTAATGGACTTTATAAGCAGTTCTGAAAGCAAGGTTGCTTAAAAGGAAGGAGATAAATTTGCTCATATAAATGAGGAAAATGAAACAAAACCACTCTTGTACTGTTTTTAATAATAATTCTAATGGGGTGTAGTTTGTTTGGCTTTTAGATTGAGTTACAGAGGTGTGCAGCTATATACGGGATGTATTCAGTCTCTTGATGGCTTGTTGAAGGAGGGCCATCAGATAACTAACTCCCTTAGTCCTCAGAAAGTCTGAGATGGCTAGGACTTCTAAATCCGCTCTTATGATGCTGAAACATGGGAAGTAATCTTTGGAATAAGTTTTCCTATATATACCTTGATTTTTCTCATGTGAGCTAATTTTTATTTCAAAGAGCAGTTGTCTACTATTCCAGTAAAATGGATTCATGGCTAAAATTTTATGTTAGAAATCAGTTCCCTCCCCAATTGGTGGCCTCATTCCTCACACCTTTTATAGCTGTAGTAGGAATTAAACTGAGTGAAATGAGTGAAGGCCATTTTTAGCATTGCTCTTTTCCATCTTGTCAGCCTTGCCAGCTTTTATCTTGTTGACTGTAACCTGATGAAAGTCATAGTGTAGCACAACCTGAAAGAAAGTCTATTAAGCATCCCATTGTTTGTAATTAATGGGAGAAAATAAGGAAAATAAAGTACAACTTTAATTCTGATAATATGTCCCTGTGGGGGTAACTGAAGCTCATTTCAGATTGCATTCTAATCTTAAACAGATGTAGTTAGATCAACTTTTTATTCTAAAATACATTTTTCTGCATTTGGGAGTATGGTAAAATGGGTTGTGAGTTTGAGGTGTAAATATTTATAATGGTTACTAATAGATGTGTTCTATCCAGAACAAAAACTCCATAAACTTTAGGTAAAAAGTAAATTAAGTATGGAGGAAATATTTAAATGTTCTACCCATATGTATACATACTTTGTGATCATTGTCCTAATATAAGTGTATTTTTTGTTGGTTCGGTCTAAAAATGTATTTAAACAAAGGCCATGAATACTTTCCATAAGTTTCTAAATGAAAATCCAAGTCCTGCCAGATAAATCAATAAGAAGCCAATTTTGAATTTAATACTTAAAAGTCTTTTAGTTGATTGTGTTATTTTCAAAGCATTAAACTGCTGTATAAGTATGTGTGTGTGTGTGTATATACACACACACGTAGCTTTCTGCATTATAACTTTCAAAATTTAATCTGGCACAGAGAGTGTTCTTTCTCTCATCATGGTCTTCTTGAACTACATACTAAAGAGAATTGCCTAATAACTACATCTGACAAAATTTATGCCTCGTTTTTATTCATCACTGAGTTTTGAATATGATTGTCTAAATTTAATCTCTGGTAATTGTGATAAATCTTTTTCAGGTAGATTCTTAGAACAATTTGTTCATAAACAAATTGCCTTCTTTGGGCAATCTGGATTAACTACCCACTATTTTTATTCTTAATTTTAATTTTGACCATAAGCTAGCCAAGAGTTGATCTTGATGGAATGAGATGTCACTAATTTATGAGTTTTCAGAGTAAATATTTTCAAGGGCACATTAGTTTTATCACTAGAAATAGTCTATGGAGACATCGAGTATGTGACAATCAAGCTATCCTTTAAGTTAATAAGTATATAGGCCCAACATCTGCATAATAAGGTGAACAAGAATATGTCCCAAGATTATTAAAGGGTTGAGTTAGTTTCTATAGAACTTTAGTCTAGAAAGAATATATTTAATTAGCATAACTTGGACAGCATAAGATTAATGCTTTAACTTGTTTGCAGGAGTTTAAAAAGCTGGTTTCTGTTGCCAATAGTTGGTTGGAAGGGAAAATGGAGATGCCACAAATAAAATTTTTTGGATTTGCAAAACAGTTTTGATTTTATTTCTTACAAACTATAGGACTCCAAGCCCCTTGATCCTTGATCAGAACTACATTAACACCAAAAATCAAGTTATCAAGGCAGAGAGAAGGGTGCTAAAGGAGTTGGGATTTTGTGTTCATGTCAAGCATCCCCATAAGGTGAGTTTTAGAGTACAGAAATGACAGTCGTAAGTATTAGGTTTTTTCCTTGAAATTTTATTTACGTGAATTTGTACTGTATATGTTTGAGAGTTAACCTTGATTTTTAAAAGCATTCTTTTGGATATTGAAATTTATCAGTCAAATTAGAGTCAAAGAACAAGTTCATATCTTCACTCTGTATTATTGGGGCATACAAGTTATTTTTGCTTCTAGTGAACTCAGTTTGCCTACCTATAAAACAAATTGTGAAATACTTCATTCCAATGAATGTGTAATATCTTTTTACCAGAGTCCTTAGCAGCTGCTTTATTATTTCATAGTGAAATCCTCAAAGCATGCATGATGGTTGGTTACTGTTATTGAGTGTTCATAGGTTTCTCTGCATCTCTTGGCTTGAGTATGACCAACATAAGTAATAGCAAATGAGTATAAAATTGCGTGCTTAAAGTACAGTACTGTCTGGGATAGAACTTGTGCCTGCCTTTAGCTGTGTCATTCTGGCAGATAATTACACAGATTATACATCTCTAAATGTATAAAATGGAAATGATAATCCAGGTCCAGAAAGATCTTGCCTGGATTGAAATCAAAAGCCTTTCATGTGTAATTTTATCAGTCACACTTTAGTGTAATTTCACTATAGAAATATTAGTGTTTGATTGTTCACTGTAATGCTCTTAAGTATTACCAAATTTGGATCATACCCACTGTAACATTAAAAACAGTAGTTCGGGTATTTGAACATATAAAATTGTACCTTGGAATACTAAATGAATCATTTAGGTTGGTGTCCATCAAATATTACAAGTACTTATGAAAAATTAAGCATTTTTAATGGAATTTATTACCTCCTATTTTTCTCCTGTATAATTTTAGAATATACTGCAGAATATAATTTCTATGAAATCTTTTAGTAACCCATATTAACACTTAGGTTCATTTTAGGTTGGTCTGTATTATCTATACAGTCACAGAGGAATTAAAACTTGAACCTAACGTTTTCAATTACTTGTAGTCTTTGAATTCTGTACTCTTGAAGAGCCACCAATATGCTAAATTGGGTTTTTTCCCTTGTCCTTCAGATCATTGTTATGTATTTACAAGTCTTAGAATGTGAACGTAATCAAACCCTGGTTCAAACTGCCTGGTAAGTTGCTTTTTTACATATCTTTCCTAGCCAGGAAAACAGAAGCAGAAATAAAGTAAGTTTCATTTTCTCTTTCCAAAATAAGGAGATGGGTTTGTTTTGGTACTTTTTGTTTTTGTTTTTTGTTTTTATTTTTTAACCAAAAGGTAAAGAATGCTTATTTCTGCTTCCTGTTTTCTTGGCTTGACTTATTACTTTTAATGGAGAACTCAATTTAACTTTGTTCTTTTTTCTACTCTTTAATTAAAGGGTAGTCCATGATGGTAAGTCATAGAACTCTGCCCTCTGCACTTCAGCCCATGACCTCAGGATGGCCTGATTGGCTGCCCTGCTCTCCAGCCAATCCAGTGCAAGCTCTCATCCGAGATTCACTGAAGTGGTCCATATCCATCTGGCAGCATCTTCTAGTTCTGTCGGGGTGTCAAAAGGATTTGTATATTTGCTTCTAGAAGTAACTCTTCAACATGCCTGTGTATTTAATGTATACTTGTAACTATCAAAATGAATAGTTCAGTTTTGATAGATTTGTTCAGTCATTATGAATTAAATGATTGATTTCTATTTTTAGTATGTATAGCATGAATTCTTCCAAAGGAAACTAACTCGCAGATTAAAATGGGCATGAGTCCCATGTTGATGAACATTATAGCTGCTGGGCTATTGCAGGCAATGATACTAGAAGTAAAGGAGTGCTTCATTTTTAAAAGAGATGTTAATATTATGTGAGCACTTTAGAAACTGGACTTTTGAGATGCAGATGTGTGATGTGGAGTGCTGGCTTACTAAGATAAAACAAGGAGCTTGTGGTCCAGCCATAACTACTGTCTCAGGACTGTCTATAATGTACAGCACTTTAATGTTTTTGTTCTGGACTTATGACTGCCATGCTTTAGATTCAGTAAATGTTAGTAATATTAGAAAAGTCTTTTTGCTTTTATAAAATGCATGACATTTTCAACATATGTTCTATAAAACCGAATTTAGTAATTTTCATGGGTAAGAATTTCTATTAACATAACTTTTTAAAGAATCTGTGCAATTTTAAAATATTTCAGGAATATTGTGGGGGGTGGGTTCACTGATTAAAGGTCCAGCAATTGATTAACTGAAATAGTTTATTATCTCTTTTATTTATACTTACACAAAAAAGGTATGTTATATATTTATTGCTCTTCACTTCCCTACTTAGATTTTCTGAAGTAGCTTAGTTTTCTTAATACAAGTATAACTTGTTGAGTGCTTACTGAAAATGCCTTTTTACCCCTGTCACAGTACTTTGAGTTTTTGAAAGAACTTGGTTGACACTGCTTTTTCATTGTGGATAAAGGAGAGATGGTCAATAATTAATGGCTTGAAGTATCGTTGGAGTGGTTTATCAGTTTTGAAACTAGTCTTGTAAGAATTGACTTTCAAAGATTGCTTTCATCATTGAAATATTTTAAAAACCTTAAAAGTAAGTTCTATTTGGAATAATGTGGAATTACTTTAAAGGACTTTGGTCATATATAAGAAAGGTAAAGAATGGTTTTATTGTTAAAATTCTTACCTCTTACTGATACTGAATTGTTATGCTAGAATGTGAGGATGTAACTATAAATATGAGAAGAAAAAAGAATAAAGTAGATTGAGTCTCCAATTTTATATACGTTTCAGAGGAACTTGATTTGTTCCACATACAAAGCTTATGGTTGAAATATTTTTCAGGAATTACATGAATGACAGTCTTCGAACCAATGTATTTGTTCGATTTCAACCAGAGACTATAGCATGTGCTTGCATTTACCTTGCAGCTCGAGCGCTTCAGGTAGGCTTATATAGTTTGTTCTTTCCTACTGGGTAAATTAAAAGAATTATCAGTTTACTAAATAAAAACAATGAAAATTTGATTTAGACCATTCTTTTTTCTGTTTTAGATTCCATTGCCCACTCGTCCCCATTGGTTTCTTCTTTTTGGCACAACAGAGGAGGAAATCCAAGAAATCTGTATAGAGACACTTAGGCTTTATACCAGGAAAAAGGTAATTTCTGTCACCTTGTGTTTGTGCTAAGAATCCAAACTACAATAAAGAAACACTAACTTTGTTTTCTTCCAACAGCCAAACTATGAATTGTTGGAAAAAGAAGTAGAGAAAAGAAAAGTAGCCTTGCAAGAAGCCAAATTGAAAGCAAAAGGATTGAATCCTGATGGAACTCCAGCCCTTTCGACCCTTGGTGGATTTTCTCCAGCCTCTAAACCATGTAAGATTTATTCAGAATTGAAATTAGTTGACCACTGAAGGGATGTAGTTATTAAAAAGCATTAGTATATAACAATTTGCTTGAGCAAGGAGAGTAAGAAATGCTGGTGTTTTCTATCATGACAGTCAACTAGAGACTCATACTTGAAGTATGGTATTCTTGAGTTACATTTAGAAATGTTTGCTCTTTCTTAAATCCGTTAATGAACATGTCTTTACTATTTTTTAAAGCATCACCAAGAGAGATAAAAGCTGAAGAAAAATCACCAATTTCTGTTAATGTGAAGACAGTCAAAAAAGAGCCTGAGGATAGACAACAGTCTTCCAAAAGCCCTTACAATGGGTACGTATTTCTGAGTTAACCCTAGCTTGAGTCTTTGTGTTTAATTTCTAGTAATATGTAATTGAAATAATGTTTTCTTTTTGAAGTGTAAGAAAAGATAGCAAGAGAAGTAGAAATAGCAGAAGTGCAAGTCGATCAAGGTCAAGAACCAGGTCACGTTCTAGATCACATACTCCAAGAAGACAGTAAGTAAACATTCTTTTATGGGAAGCGGTTTACAGTGGGTGTTACCAGAAATTACCTTTTGATGGGTGTTTATTTAAAAAAAAAGAAAAACTACAGGCTATTTTCAAAGTTAGGCTAGATCTGGGCTTTTCAATCAAGGTAAATTTTAGGAAAAGAGTTTGGAAATAAGCTCTCCACATGCTATTTTTGGTGGTGTACCTTGATGACTTTCTCTTCTGTTTTTAGATACGTGTAGAACAGGCATTAAATTCAGAGGTATTTTATGCCTGTTTGTGTTGTGAGACTAGTGTTTCTCTGGTTTCAGTTAGAAACTTACTAAGCACTAATAACCAGTAATCTGGTTGACCATAGCCAAAGACTCCCTAGTTACCTCTGTAATTAGATTGCTAGTGTTTTTGTGACTCTTCAGTGTCCTTTTGAGAACTCAGTAAAATGCAGAGCTACCAAAGGTTACTCCCCAGCTTGGAATGTAAAAATATAGTACTTTGGTTTATGATTTGTCTGTTAATAGGCATGTGGGGAGGGACAGAATAATGCGGGGGGAGGGCGTGGGGGTAAAGAGAAGTTCAGACCTGTCATTGATGCAGGTCACTAGTTTTGGTTTGAAGCTGTAAGGTGCACCACCAAGTAATTTGTTCCCAGTAGAAACTAAATCTAAACCTCCACTTTTTATTATCTAAAGTTATAATAATAGGCGGAGTCGATCTGGAACATACAGCTCGAGATCAAGAAGCAGGTCCCGCAGTCACAGTGAAAGCCCAAGAAGACATCACAATCATGGTTCTCCTCACCTTAAGGCCAAGCATGCCAGAGAGGATTTAAAAAGTTCAAATAGACATGGTCATAAAAGGAAAAAATCTCGCTCTCGATCTCAGAGCAAGTCTCGGGATCACTCAGATGCTGCCAAGAAACACAGGCACGAAAGGGGACATCATAGGGACAGGCGTGAGCGATCGCGCTCCTTTGAGAGGTCCCATAAAGGCAAGCACCATGGTGGCAGCCGCTCGGGGCACAGCAGGCACAGGCGCTGACATCTCCTGTGAGCCTGTGGCAGTTCCTGGTTTGCCTTTCTACAGTGTGATTTATGGACTCAGAATCAAAACATTAAAGCAAATTGATTAGGAATTGATTTTATAAAAACCTCTAGGTCTCTAGAAACACTGAGGATGTATTTTGAAAAGAACTATGTTAATTTTTCTTTTCCTTTTTTTTTTTTTTTTTGCACATTAAAATGCCCTAGCAGTATCTAATTGAAAACCATGGTCAGGTTTGATTGTACTTACTATAGTTGTGTATTGTTTATTGCTATAAGAACTGGAGCGTGAATTCTGTAAAAATGTATCTTATTTTTATACAGAAAAACTTGCAGACATTGTTCTATTTAAGTGGTTATTTGTTTAAATGATGGTGAATACTTTCTTAACACTGGTTTGTCTGCATGTGTAAAGATTTTTACAAGAAAATAAAATACAGATCTTGTTTTTCTAAACTGCTTCAAATACCTTATTTAAATAAATTATTAAAAAGAACAAAAATTTAATATTAAAATGGTTGTGCTGATTTTCTGACAAACCCATTCTTCCATTATGTAGTTCAAAATGATTAAAATGCATTTCTGATTTGCACTGTGAATTATTGTAAAGATGGATGTGTGGAAAAAGCAGAGTGACCCAACAGTGTCTTATGTATTGTTTTGTAGTACTAACCCAGTCAAGGCAGAACCTGATTTGCGTGTAAGGGTACCATAGTCATTTGAAGTCAGAATTAAGAAATAATTAAATAGAATTAGAAATAATTAAATTAAATTAAATTAATTATTTCTAAAGTGAGCAGTCCTCTTACATAAACCAAAATTTTTACCATGACACTAAATCAGACCCAACTATTGATACTTGAAATTTTTCTTTAGGTATTTAGTATCAATTTTTATCTAAGCTGGGAGAATTCTCTTTAAGATTTTCCTGGACGTGACTGGCTCATTATGAAAGTAAAATCTGACCACAAAGAAAATAGTTTTCGTGAAAGAGCGAGCCAGAACTCATTCAAATGGATGTTCTTGTATTTTCCCAGTGTTTTGAGATCTTAAGTCATTAAACAGTGTCATTATTTTTGTTACATTAAGTTTTACATCAAATTGTTTCACCCACCTTGATTACTTACCTTGTCCACTAGACTTGGCTCCAAGTGATTTGTTGCTGTTCAAAAAATCAAATACACCCACAAAGAGATGAAGATATACTACCACTAAGGATGTTTAAAAGAAATCTAAGTTACAGCTTTTGAAGAGGATTCTAAAGATTGCACCCGTGGCAGGCAGTGGGTCTTGGAGAGTAGCACCTGAGACAAGGGAACTGCATTGAAGGAGACGAGATTCACTTGGATATAAAATGCCTGGTATGCGACTCTAAATCAGTTACAGTTCTAACTATAAAAACTAATTGAAAACTAACACAGCCTGGTGTGAATGTGCAACTTTCATGGGGTAAGTAACTGAGTATGTTCCTTCTGCTAATACATGCACTTGAGCTTTTAACCATATGAAGAACTCAAATTGCCTTTAAAGAGCAGGTATTAGTTTGTCAGCATAGACCCTGTTTAACAAATTAAGTTCTTAATAGTATTGAAGTCACTACCTGCCTTTCCTTGTTTGGGAGCAACACCATGCATGGATGTAATGGGGTTTGAAGATGGGCCGGATGAAGGACACTAGGAGTGAGGTTTGCATGTGAGAGGTGACTTAGGCAAGAGTGTCTTTTTCTTTGTGTTCTAATTTTTGTCTTACTTTTACTGAATCAACTAAGCTATCTAGGTTCTTGTCAAGATGTTAACCCTACACTCCCCTACTTGAATCCAAAAACATTTCCAAACATGCAAAATTTGACATAGTACCCATCTCAGCTCCAAAAACCACCAGTTTGTGGTGGTGACTTTGTTTAATTTGTACCTTACCAATTAATTCCATTCCTATTAGTATTTGTAAAATGATTTCATCCCCGAATATTTAGATACACTGGATAAGAACTTCTTAAACATCACCTCAATAAATTGTGAATAGTAATGCTACCTACTCAGTATTTAGACTTGCCTTCACTGTCTTTAATTTAGATTTTTGTCATTGGTTTGTTCAAGGTCCGTATGTGTTGCTTTTGTTTTAATCACATTCCCCCTTTTATTTTCTTTGGATTTTATTTAAAAAAATTGTGTCATTTGTTCTGGAGAGTTTTTCATTCTTTGCGTATGCTCATTGTAAGCCTGTGGGCCACTGTGCACACTTCTTTTCCTGCATTTTTCTTTTTTCTTTTTTTTTTTTTTAATATTTATGCACACAAGAGCTGGGGTACAGGCCAGAGATGCAGGGGGTGAGAGGATTCACCAGAGACGGAGTGGGGAACAGAACAGGCAGACTGATGGAAATACACTGCAGAGGGGAGCCGTGGGTGAGACAGGTCTGTTGCCCCGTGTGGGTTGCTTCCTGGCTGGCTGGGAATTGAACTCCTGCTGCAAAGGCTTTGGATTGCTTCATGGTGTGGTGCTTAACCCCAGGGAGGCCCTGGTTTTTCCTGCATTTTTCGTCAACTATCTCAAAGCTTGATCAGAATCAGGTTTCATAATTGTTTCACTGGTTTGAGATTCGGGAAGTGTGGAACACAGGTGTGGGAACACAGCCATTGTAGAACTGATACTGGATTGCTGCCCCTTTGCTTGACATTTGAATCCCAGTTCTCCGTTAGAGCTTATGTCTTGACAGCCTTGAGTGTGTGTTCCCAGTTTTGTCTCATCTCTGTCTCCCACTGCAGCCTTGTCTTAATGTAAATGAGTTTGTTAGTATTTCACCTTAGTGATCCTGGTTCTTAGTGATGCACTGGCCGGGAGGTGGTTGTGGATGAGCCCCCAGATGTGTGACACAGCATAATAGGATGAACCGGGAACTGCAGCCAGTGTAACAAAGAATTGAAACAGAAACACCTCATACCTACAGCAGTAAGCCAGCTAAAGGAAGTTTATTCAAAGACACAGGTCATCTCTCCAGGGTAAAGCCACAAGGGTTAAAGAAAGAGGCTAACTCCTGCCAGAAACAAGTAAGCTTGGAAAGATTAATGCAAGGACAGATAACAGCACATCTCCTGTGCATGCACATGGGGAGGGGTCCTGAATGAGTTGCCGCTGGTGAAAACAACTTGGGGTTTTTATAGTTAGGCTCATGTTTGGGATATAGGGGGTGAGTTATGCTGATGGTGCAGTTTCTTGATTGGTCAACCTTGACCAATGCCCATCCTAACATTAACCGGTGAAGTGTCATGGGCTTTTTTCTTGTTACTGACTTCTCTTCTTATGTTTCCCAGGAGGGGTCCCATGCCTCCCAGGGTCCTAGTCCTTATCCCTCCTGTTCTGTCTCCCAGGGCCTCAGTCTATCCTAGCCCCTCGTTAACCCAAGTTCTTTCTATTGTGAATGTTACATATAACATTTACACTTGATACAACTAAAAGCCCAGTGAAATTTTTAACTTTCCCTTTTAAAACAAAGTGATCATAAAAATGCCTGCCTCTTTATAGCATAGCTCTAAGTTTTGATTCATAGTTTTAAATAATGGCACTCTTAACATCACTTATTAGCCCCACTACAGTTTTGTTAGCTTTCCTAACAATTTCCAAAAACGAGATAATGTTTCTTTTAATGACTTAGTTGAAGTTTATTTTACAGTTCTGGAGGTCAGAGCTCCAAAATTAGTCTCAGTGAGCTACAGGTGTCACCTGGATGGTTCCTTCTGGAGAAGGAAAATTGTCATCATCCCTTTTTCATCTTCTATAGGCTGCCTTAGCACCTGGCTAGTGGCGAAAACAAGTTAATTTTATGATAAATATTCACTGTTGTAAAAGTCATTTTTTAACATGAACTGCAATAATTGTGAAGATTAAGATGGTTGTTTTCTTAAAAACCACACTTTTAAGAATCTTATTAAAAACAGGCATGGTGAAAACTAGTTTAGCTGAAGAGACAGGATGTTTGTGGCGTTTGATAAGGAAAAGCACTTCCCCCATTGGAAAAATGGGACGAGCACTAGCGTTCATTGTGTGGGCCTTCGTCCTTGCCATGTCCCCTAGGGTAGGAGCTGTTTGTGTGCCTGGGGGCCCAGTTTGACTTTGTAACCATTTGAACTTTGTCCATCTGTGAAATGGAAGGATCATGGACTTCTGTGGCAACTAGAATATATGCATCAGCATTTTGTATAATATATGTGTTGGGCAAATATAAAGGGAGTATGTTTTTACCCTTGGGACTTCCAACAATTGCTATTAGAAAGTATGCAGCTGCTAAGAGAAGTTTGACTTGTACATTTCCTATGAACACAATTCAAAACGCAGAATGCTACTTCACCGATTAGATTCTAATCTAAGAACGGAAGAGCTCTTGCAGGGACTAGTGAATTAACATTAGAGCGTTTACAGCGTGGATTGTAAAGTCAGACCACCGGGGGCTCAGTGTTTAGTGCCTCTACCTATGAGCTGTCTAACCTACACACTTTACCCCACCCTAAGCTTTCATTTCCCGTCTGTCAAGTTAGTTGTCAAAGCACTGTGTTCAGATGTTAAGTATGAGTTTAAAGGAAATGATGTGTATAACGTACATTGGTCTGTGGTCAATGTTCAGTAAATGTCATTGTTCAATAAATGCATTATCCATCAGAGGTTTGTGGGTTTTTGTTTGGAAGAGATTAGTTTTATTTTTCCCCATCATTATAGCTTGATAAATTTCAAACCTAAGGAAAATGATGATAGTGCAACCGACACCCTCATATAGTCATTATGTAAGGTTCATTAACAGCTAATATTTTGCTACATTTTTTTTTTTATCTCTGTATGCATGTAGATACATTTTTCTTTTTGTTTCTTTTCTGGACCATTTAAGTTACTACCGAAACCCTAAGTGTTTTCACCTGTATCACCAAAAATCTAGGGTATTTGCCTACATAGTCAAAATACAACTGACATCACACCCAGGAAATCTGACATTGATATAGTTCATATTTGAATTTTCCAGATTGTCTTCATAAAATTCTTTATGACTGTAGGTTGGTTGTTGATCCAGAATCCAGTCAAAGGTTATACATTGTATTTGAGTATCTCTTAAATTGCTGTAAGCTAGAAAATTCCCCATAATTTGGTACATGTTTAAACATACCACTTAGTGGGTATGTATGGATTTGTCCCATTCATAGTGATGTTAAGTTAGTCCTTTGGGAAGGTGGTGTCCACCAGTTTTCTCCAATGTAATGGTCCCTTTAATTCATACCCTGTGAGATTATACATGAAATGAAGTGAGTTTCCTGTACTTTCACAGCTTTTACTTGTGACTTAGCATTCATTAATGGTGTTGGTGTTATTTCAATCAACCTTTTCTTTTTAATTTTTACAATAGTGATGAGAAAAAAGTGATTTTTCTATTTCAAGCTAGTTTTGGCACTTACTGATTGGCATTCTTCTATATAGGAGAACTTTCCAAATCTTTTGCATTTTTTGTGCAAAGTATGGGCTGAAAGGTTGGGTGTTTTTTTTTTGTTTTTTTTTTTAAATTCAGTGTGTTGCAAGTCATTCATTCATAATTCATCATTATTTATTATGATGCTGAAATCACTCCAAATTAGTGGAATTTCTCTAAGCTAGCTCCTTCGGCTTTTGCTCTGTCCCCAATAATTTTTGAGCATCATTTCATTCTCTTGTACAAGATAATGCAGAGCTCTCATGGAACTTTCTCCACTTTGACTCTGGAAGAAGCCATCTAAATGCGTGTTCATTTTTGTGAGGACCACATTCTGGTAATTAACTAGACTTGCTGCTACTAGGGTGTTGCTGCTTTTGTATGAAACTTCTAATTTCAGCCAATCACTGTGGATTCTCCCCACAGTGTAAATCAGTGGTTCTGAGGTTGTCCTGTTTCCTCATGATTGGATTCCAGTTTATGTTTCTCATAGGAAAACAAATGACCTTGTGTTGGTTGTATTAGTGGATACATGGTGTCAATTTATCCCTATACTGATGTTATTAATTTTGATCATTGGCCAAGTCCATGTCTGCCAATGTTCTCTACCTAAATGTCATTATCTTTACCTTAGTAATTAAAAATTAACTTATAGGGAAGATACTTTGAGATCATATATTGTTTTCCATCATAGTTCTGCCTGCTAATTTTAGCACCCATTGGTGATTTTTGCCTAAACCATTTATTGAAAGTAACTTTTTTTTTAAGATTTATTTATTTATGCATGCAAGAGCTGGGGTACAGGCCAGAGATGCAGGGGGTGAGAGGATCCACCAGAGACAGAGTGGGGAACAGAACAGGCAGAAAGACTGAAATACCCTGAGGGGAGCAGTGGGCGAGTCAAGAGAGGTCTGCTGGACCATGTGGGTTGCTCCCTGGCCAGCCAGGGATCGAACTCATGCTGCAGAGGCCGCAGATTACTTCATAGTGCGGTGCTTAACCCCTTGCGCCACCAGGGAGGCCCGAAAGTAACTTTCTTTTTGAGGTAGCACTGGTTTATAGCACTGTATCCGATTCTATAGGCTCATACCCCTTCAGAGGTATGTTACCACACCACACCCACCACTAAGGCACCCAGAGTGCTTTATCACAGACCATGGGCTCCCTACCCCATTTTCTTTCCCCTTCTGGCAGCCTCAGTTTTACAGTCAGATTTCTAGGGTTGGTTTTTAATTTGGTTTTGTGTGACCCTTTATTTTGTTTTTCTACATTCCACATATGAGTGTTAGTCTTTCTCCTGGTTTATTTCACTTAGCATAATCCCCTCCTGTTCCATCCATGTTGTTGCAAATGATAAGATTTCATTTTTTTATTGCTGAGTAGTATCCCATTGGGTATATATACTACATCTTAATCTATTCATCTGTCCTTGGGCACTTCAATTGCTTCCATAACTTGGCTCTTATAAATAGTGCTGCAAGTTTTATAAGCAATAATGCGTATCGTGAACATAGGAAAGCATTATCCTTTTGAATAAGGGTTTTTGCATTTTTGAGGGGAAAGACCTAGGATTAGGGTTACTGGATCATATGGTAAATCTAGTTGTAATATTTTGAGAACTTTTCATACTGTTTTCTATGTGGACTGGGCCAATCTGTATTCCCACCAACTGTGTACAAATGTTTCTTTTTCTCCACATTCTCAATAATACTTGTTTCTGGTCCTTTTGATATGGGCCATTCTTAAGGTGTGAGATAGTATTTCATTGTGATTTTGATTTGCATTTCCCTGAGGGTAAGTGATGATGAGTATTTTTTCATGTGCCAGTTGGCCATCTGGATGTCTTTGGAAAAATATCTTCAGCTTTTCTTCATTTTTTGATGGGTGTTTGCTTTCTTTTTGTGTATGAATTCTTTGTAAATCTTGGACATTAGCCCCTTGTTAGATGTATGATGTACAAATATTTTCTCCCATGTAGTAGGGTGTCTTTTCATTTTAATGATAGGTTCTTTTGGAGTGCAGTTTTAATTTGATGTAGTTCCATTTGTTTATTTTTGCTTTTGTTTCTCTACTATTGGAATTGATTCCCCGAAGACATTGCCAAAGCCAATTTATCCTTTGGAGTGTTTTGCCTATATTTTATGGTTTCAGGTTTGATATTCAGAGCTTTAATTTTGAGTTAATTTTTGTGTATGATGTGAGATGGTAGTCTCGTTTCATTCTTTTGCCCTTGGCTTTCCAATTTTCCCAACACTACATCGTTTGGTGAAGATTTTACCGTTTCTCCATGGTATCCAGGCTCCTTCATCTTAGATCTGCTGTTCATATAAGTGTGAGTTTACGTCTTGGCTCTCAATTCTATTCCATTGGTCTGTGTGTGATTTTTATTTCAGCACTATACTTTTGTGGTTACTATAGCTTTGTTGTATATTTTGAAGTCTGGTGTGTGATACCTCTGTTCTTTTTGTCAGGATTGCTTTGGCATTTGGGGGTCTTTTATAATTCCATATACATTTCAGCAATGTTTATTCTATTTCATTGAAGATTGCCACTGAAACTTAGATAGAGGTTGCATTGAACCTATATATTGCTTTGGGGTAAGATGGCCATTTTAACAATGTTAATTCTTCCAGTCCATGAACAGGGATTATCTTTCCATTTCTTTGTGTCTTCTTCTTCTTCTTTTTAGAAATATCTTATACTTTTCATTGTACAGGTCTTCTACTTCCTCTGTTTTCTCCTGTGTATTTCATTCTTTTTGATGTGATAAAAGTAAAGGAGATTGTTTTCTTCATTGCATTGCTCTTCTAGTTCATATTTGCATGTAAGAATGCAACCCATTTTTGTAGGTTGATTTGTTACAACCTGCCACTTCACTGTGCTGATTTATTGTTTCTAATAGTTTTTTAGTGGAGACTTTAGGTTTTTCTGTGTATATCATGATGACATCTGCAAATAATGGTAGTTTTACTTCTTCCCTAATTCAGACTACTTTTATAGCTTTCTTTTGCCTGATTGCTCTAGCTAGAATTTCCAATACTATATTGAATAGTGGCGGTAGAAGTGGACATCCTTATCCTCTACCAGATCTCAGAGGAAAAACTAAGTTTTTCACCACTGACTATGATCTTAGCTGTAGGCTTGTCATATTTGGCCCTTAATATGTTTAGATATATGTTCCTTCTATTCCCATTTTTAGGGGTTTTTATCACAAATGGATATTGAAACTTATCAAATAATTTCTCTACATCTATTGACATAAACATGATTTTTATCTTTCCTTTTTGTTGATATGGTGCATTACATTGTTTGCTTTTTTTTTTTTTTTAAGATTTATTTATGCATACAAGAACAGTGGTCTAGGCCAGAGGTGCAGAGGGTGAGAGGATTCACCAGAGACAGAGTGGGGAACAGAACAGGCAGAATGACTGAAATACACTGCTGAGGGAAGCAGTGGGGGCGATAGGAGAGGTTTGCTATGCCATGTGGGTAGTCCGTGGCCTGGGATCGAACTCATGTTGCAGTGGCTAGCCATAGCTTGATAGCACTGTAACTTAACCCCTGCGCCACCAGGGAGGCCCCATTCATTGATTTTTAAAATATTGAACCATCCTTGTCTCCCTGGGAAAAATCCTACTTAGTCATGATGTATATTCCTTTTAATGTATTGTTTTTTTTGTTTGTTTGTTTTTTAAGATTTATTTATTTATTTATTTATACAAGCACTGGGTACAGTCAGAAGCGCGGGAGGGTGAGAGAATTCACCAGAGCCAGAGCGGGGAGCAGAGCAGGCAGAAGGATCGAAGTACACTGCTGAGGGGAGCAGCGGGCGGCAGGAGAGGTCTGCGTACCATGTGGGACCCTCCTCCTGTGGCCGGGGAGCAGCTGGGGATCGAACCGGCGCCTCAGGGGCCAAGGACAGCTTCGCAACCCAGCGCTCAACTGCTGCGCCACCAGGGAGGCCCTTAATGTATTGTTGAATTAAGTTTGCTAGGAATTTGCTGAGAATTTTTGCATCTATGATTGAAAATAATTTTCCAGTTCTAGTATTCTTTCTACATTTATTAGTAGGAATCCTACTATAAGGAAGAGTTTTCCCTTCATTTATTTATGTATATCAGTAAGGACTGATGATATACACTATGGTTATAATCCTTCTCAATCATTTATTTTGTTGCTCAAATTATCCCAGATTTGAGCCAAGGGACCCCTGTTAAGCTATTTCCTGGGTCCTTTGAGGTGAACATTTTAAGACTTTGGTTTATATTTGTTACTTTTCAAAAGATTCACCCATTGCTATGATCTCTAGAAGCAAATAATGAGAAGTTCTTGGGCTTTCTTGTTAACATTTGTTAGAGGAGATGAAGTGATTTTCAAAGGTAATCAATACACTGCCAATGTGAAAGCTTCTCATGGCTGCAGTTTCCAGAACATTACCAGCCTTTTTTCCAGGACAGCCTTCCTCATGTGTGTCTAGTTTCCATTCTCCCACAGTCTGTTCTTCTAGTGCCTTCTAGTTTGTAGTACAAAATTAGTGATAAGTACTTACGCCACTAGAGGTCATTGCTCAGCTAGCGTGATAGCAGATGTCTCATTCTCATCAGCTGAGTACAAGCCTTGTTCTGAATACAATAAGGATTTGTCTGTTTCCCAAGGAAACAGTGTCTCTAGACATGTCCACTTAAGCCACATTATAGGCCCATATTTCAGGCTTGCACCCTTGATAGCTAACTCTAAAGGTTTATGCCTTTTCTAAATTCTTTCAGAAGAGTAAAGGCAGCAATCCTTATTTATAGAAGCACTATGTTGCCGATGCTGTTCAGTTTCAAACACATGAACTAACTCATGTTACATCTTTCAAGAACACTATGGTGAGGGAACCCATGAGGAGATGATTTCATGCAGGTAGTAAAAGGCTAAGGCAGGATTTAAATCCAAGCAGTTTGTTCCAGAGTTCATATGCTTAACAATGGCTCTCCCCCCCCCCCCCATACTATGTATCAACCTTCATGGCTTTGCTGAAATCCCATTTTAATGGAAGCTTTCATGGCCGAGCCTGGCTAGTATAGCATACAACAAGGCCCAAGGTCCCTGGGCCATT